AAGAGCGCGTTGTCATGCACGATGATCTCGTTCTTCTCCGTCTTGGTCCGTATTCGCCGATGCTCAACCCTATCGAGAGCTGTTTGAGTGTATTCAAGGCGAAGATCAAGAACTACGTGGCAGATCGCACAGACTTGATGTTTCAACGACGCGAATATCCCTCTTACCATGAGAGTCGTATGCGGTGGTTAGAAGATTCTGCTCACGATTGTCTTCCCTATATCACTTGGTCCTTGGTCGTCCGTGAGTCATTGTTTTGCCAACGCAACGTGGAGAAGGCTCTTCGTCTTGAAGATATGTGCAACGAAAAGTGAAGTGAACCAGTTTGGATGGAAAAGAACCACATTGAATTTGAAAATTGTCATTTTTATGTACCCACTTTCTAAATTTAAAACATATGGCTTTTTATATTACCACTTTGGTTGGAAAAACCTCCAACTTGCTCGTGAAAAGGTGTAGACTACGTTCAGTTGGAAGGGTCGGCAGCGCAGGGAGGTACGAGTGGGAGACAGAGGAAGAGCGTGACTGCGACAAAAATTTGCGAAACGAGTTGCGGTAGCCACAGAAGTAAACGTCGCGATACTTGTCGTGCGCGCGATCACGTGATGGTCGGCGGTGGTAGGTACTGTATGATGATTGCGACAGTGGATGCGGTCACGTTGTTCGGAGAAGCCGGGGCAGACTCGGTTTGATCCGGATGTGGCGTAGCCCAAACACAGGTCGCCGTAAAGTTGGACAGCGTTGAAGAGCGTCCCTTTGTCGATCGGCATGAAGGTAGAAAAACTGACGCCGTCACCTCGTGGGCTAGGGTCGAAGTTGAAATATCCACCACCTGGGGCACTGCCGATATGAGCGTGAGGCTCATGTCCACGGCTTTTGACAGTGCCAGAATACCCAGTGCCATGCTCGGCGGAAAGGGTTGCCGAGCTCGCTTGCGTTTGATGGAGGTTGTTCTGAACACATGAAGGTCCGATGTGATGCACGGAGGTAAGGCCGCCAAAAGTGCAGACGAGAGGTGAGAGTCACTGAGGGTTCTACCACCTTCCAGTTTTTCAACACTATGTCGAAGCTTGTCGAACCTCCAAAGGTTTACCTCAAATGAGACGCTTCGTTCGAGCTTGAAGGTGTGAAACTTTGTGTAGACGGTCACTGCCGACACATACTTCTGCTCCTCGCTGCAGAATTTGCTGCGGAGCCAGAAAATGATGCAATGCGCACAATTGTTCAGATTTGCCGCAGCCGCATCACGACGAACAGAGTTGGAGAGCGAGATATAAACCAAAGCACACGAGCGCTCGACGTCGGCGAGCTCGTTGCGAATCATCTGTTCCAACTGCACTTTTGCTGCTTGAGCTTCAACGAGTACAGTAGAGCGATGCTTCGCCAAGTACTCCGCTATTGGTAAGGCCAATGCAGCAGTGAGTTCGTCAAGTGCCGGAGGAGGCAAAGGAGACGCATCCGAGAGACATGATGCTTCTTGTTCTTGGTGGGACCGAATCTTCTTGACGTCGCCATCAAGGATTCGAAGTGCCTGATGGAGTCCTTTCATGGACCATGCGGCCTCAACGCCGGCGCACTTCGTCGCATGGTTGGAAAGGCCTTCGCCTTGGAGGACGATCGCGGTCAGCTCGAAGTGCCACTCGTCAAAGTTATCGACACTGAGGTGGTTTGTGACGTGTAGGCTCGGACGGGAAGCAACAGAGTTGGGCGTTGGAGGACTCATAACCAGTTGGATTGGCAGTAGCGGAGGCTCGGATGTAAAAACGACCGATAGAGGAGGAATTTAGAAGTGGTTGGTGGGAAGAGACCATCCGCCAGTTAAGGCCAACTGGCCAATGAGAGCACGACATCATAACGATGTGACGTGGCCTTCTGCTGCATGAGGAAAAAACTCTAGAAGTCGCATAAATAAATATCCAACCGATGCAAGAACATCGTGCGACCTGAGGGACAGGGCAATAGGGATGTTCTCGACAGACCTGGGCAATCTGACGGTTTGGACTTGCCTACGTTATACAGGAATTTTTAATGGCTAAGTCGGAGTAAACCGTCAAAGTCGCGACAAATTTCAATGCGATCTTCGTGGTGGCATTCTTCATGTGCATTGCAATCCCGCACATGAAAGCCAGGCTCGACGCGTTCGCCGCCGACTGTCGGCCATCCACCAGCGCCGCACCAACACCTCGAGCTCACCTTCCAGGAGTTCAAGACCCTAGCGATTGTCCGTGACTCCATCCTCAACCAATCCCACGCCCCGAACGAACATATCCATGGCTGTGCCACCATCGGTAGCAACGACCCACCTTATTGGGAAGTGCATGATGTCGATGACACAAAGGCAGGTGTGGATATTTGGGCGACTTTGATATAAGTTTTCCACATCCACGATGCCACTGACTCTTCCATCCAGGCGTGTCGGCTATGAACAAGGTGATGCATCTCCACCTGACGGACCTCGCGAAGTCCGTTTCCAAAGGTAAATCACAAAGTATCTTCCCTCACGGGGCAAATCCCTACAGCTACTGCCCGCCTGTCATTCAGACAGCCAATCGCTACGCAGCAGCACTACCCAAGAGAAATGGCCCCCTAGGTGCCTCTTGGGGGGGGTCTAGCGGCTCTGCGAATGGCACATTTGCAACATTCCCCCCAACGATTGCACTTCGCCTAGCGCTTTCGCCATTACCACATCTTCCTTTCGGGAAGCAATGCAAAATCCAAACTGAGTTACAGTCAGTTCACACGGCCCCTCACACCGAAGTGCACCGAAGTGAGGCTAGCCGTGCGTAACCGCACTTAAAGGGTCTACTACAACTAGCCCCTATCCTTGGAATTTAGGCTCCCAAGCTCACCGGCCAACCGACCTTTCGCAAGGTTGAGTCTGCTGTGGGTACCCAGAACACTTCCCCCTTACACGAGATGACCCAGGGTCATCTCCAGTGTAAGTCGCATGTCTCGGACAGATGTGTCTTGATCTTCCGTCGACGCAATCCACTTTCGCACGAGTACTGGGACATCTTCATACAGGTTAACCGCCGGTTCCCACAAGGCTTGGTCATCTTCGAGGCCAAGCCACTTTACAAGTACTTGATACTGCCCGTCGATTTCGCGCACCTTCATAAAGGCTTCAACATGGAAGCCACCTTCACCGTACG